TCCCAGTTGGATATTTTCAGAATTACCTTATCCTCGGGTCTCTAGACCATTTTCTCTATTTGTGTGTTTCTTGATCACTCCTGAATTTGCATCCCAACGTGTGCGTGTGAATGTGTATCTTAGGCAGTTCATTTGTACCCACTACTTTTGTCTTACACTACCTTGCTTATATTCAGGCTTTAGAAGATGCCTTCTTGGCTATTGATGCCAAACTGACCACAGAGGAAGTCATTAAGGAACTGGCACAGATTGCAGGGAGACCCACAGAAGATGAGGATGATAAAGAAAAAGTAGCAGATGAAGATGATGGTGAGTGTGGCATCCTGTTAGAAACAGTTTATTATCCGTTCTAATAAAGGATGTCTTCCAAAGGACCAGGGGAATTTTCACATTAAGAACCCTATATGGTATTCTGTATTATATGTTGCTATAGCAAAGAGAATCTATCTTTGTCTAGTGCATAGCTCTAAGCATTTTTGCATATATTGTGTTTTGTTATTTTGATGTGGTTTTCCTGGTTCCTATATATATATATATGTTATATATACACGTATGTTGTATATTATATATGTTCTTTTTTTATCTTTTTGTCTTTTATCTGACAGCCAGATATTACAACTTAATCCTTCTTCTAAACTACTATATGGGCTATCTGGGTCCTCGGTGTAAAGGTTTCAAGTTAGTAATACAAATGAGAGGTACAATAGGGAAACATAACTGGTGCTCCTTGGACTAAGAAAGACCAGAAGACTATTGAGGAGACAGTGAGACTTGATTAGTGAGTGGAGCCTCATAAGTGGGAGGTAATCGGGAAGTGTACCGCCGCGTCACAGAGGTTGAACTAGTTAAAGGGACTGCTAGCCTTTGAGGAGTCTGGGCTGGGGCTCTGACTTAGCCTCTCCCTGCAGTGGACAATGAGGAGGCCGCACTGCTGCATGAAGAGGCTGCCATGACTATTGAAGAGTTGCTGACACGATACGGGCAGAACTGTCAGAAGGGCCCTCCCCACACCAAATCTGGAACTGGGACAGGCGATGAACCAGGGCCTCAGGGCCTCAATGGGGAGGCCGGACCTGAGGACCCATCTAGGGAAACTCCTTCCCAGGAAAATGGCCCCACAGCCAAAGGTCACACAGGCCTTTCCTCTAACTCGGAACATGAGACTGAGGCAGGCCAAGTTGGTGAGCTTGGTACAGCTACTGGTGAGGCTGGACCTTCCTGCTCTTCAGCCTCTGACAAGCTGCCTCGAGTTGCTAAGTCCAAGTTCTTTGAGGACAGTGAGGATGAATCAGATGAGGCGGAGGAGGAAGAGGATGACAGTGAGGTAAGGGCCTGTGAGGCAGGCAGACACTGAAGCTGCAGTGAGGGCTGTGTAGTGCCATCCCTAGCCTCAATTCTTGTCAAGTTTGTACTATATTTTGCATGTATGTGTGTTTCCATGCTTGTCTGTTGAGGTCAGAGGATATATAACTGTGTGAGTCAGTTCTCTACTTCTCTCATGTCAGTCCTGAGGTTCAATATCAGCTTATCAGGCTTGCCAGCCAGCACCTAATTTACCGTCTTCGTTTCCCAAGACTCGCTGCATTCTAAGCTGCCTTTGAGTGCATTGTCTTATACCTTTAACCCCCTTTTCTTTTGTTGATTTAATATTCAGAAGAATAAATTAAGATTTAAAAATGAACATTTATTTAATTTTGTGTTGTGTGCATGTGTGTGCCTGAGTGCCAAGGCATGTTAGAGGACAACTTGAGAGGGTTAGCTTTCTCCTTCTACCATGGGAGTTCTGAAGACTGAACCTAAGTCACTAGGCTTTATCCAGAGCCAGCTGGCAATAAAGTGATTTACTTCTGGCCTTTTAGGATCTGTCTCCTAGAGAGAGAATAGGAAGGCAGTTTTTATTAGTTTAGGTATTTAGGTGTCTCCTTTTCCCAACAGTTTATTCTCTGGAAGGTATTCTGACTTCCCCAGGACTTGTTTTGCTGATATCATCTGTGCCCAGTTCAGAATGTCAATTTATCATGCTTATCCTAGTCTCTCTGCTGCCCCAGATTTTCATGACAACGTTGGTTATATCTTTTGACAGTTGTTAGGATTTCTATTTTGAGTCTATGTTGAGGAAGGGGGGCGGAGTGGGGGGCATCTCAGTATCTTGGAATCTTCCTGGTAGGAATGCAGTGAGGAAGAAGACGGCTACAGCAGTGAGGAGGCAGAGAACGAGGAAGATGAGGATGATACTGAGGAGGCTGAAGAGGATGATGAAGAGGAGGAGGAAGAAGAAGAGATGATGGTACCTGGAATGGAAGGCAAAGAAGAGGTGTGTGGAGGCAGGAACTAGTGATTTTGGAAAGAACAAGAAACAAGTGTAAATCTCCTGATTTGATTTTAAGAAGTATATCCCCTTGCTATTTTAGTCTTGTTTTTGTTTTGTTTTGTTTGTTTGTTTGTTTTGTTTTGTTTTTCAAGATAGTGTTTCTCTGTAACTTTGGAGCCTGCCCTGGAACTCGCTCTGTAGACAGGCTGGCCTCGAACTCCCAGAGATTCACCTGCCTCTACCTTCTGAGTGCTGGGATTAAAGACTTGCACCACCACCCCTGGCAATATTTTAGTCTTTAATTCAGGAGTATTAATCCTACAATGGGAACTACAAGGGAAATCCGGATAGAATTGCCTTTAAGATGGCAAGGAAACATGCTGTCTCTGGACAGCTCTTCACATGTGTTAAAGCTCTTTAGTATAGATGACTGGTGAGGAGTATGCTCGTGCCTAGACACTCCCACAAGGCTCCCTTTCTTCCTCTTAAGCCTGGCTCTGACAGCGGCACAACAGCAGTGGTGGCTCTCATACGGGGGAAGCAGTTGATTGTGGCCAATGCAGGAGACTCTCGCTGTGTGGTGTCAGAAGCTGGCAAAGCTTTAGATATGTCTTACGACCATAAACCAGAGGATGAAGTGGAGCTAGCACGCATCAAGAATGCTGGTGGCAAGGTCACGATGGATGGGCGCGTCAATGGAGGCCTCAACCTCTCCAGGGCCATTGGTAAGGACTAAGAAGCTATAAGGAAATCTTGGGATCTTGCCCTCTGTCCCAGATTACCTAACATTCTAAGCCCTGTGCCGTTCAGAATAATCAAAAACATCTTTGTGAAATAGTGAAGTTATAGTTCTCACTGTCCTGGATGTTTAAAAAAAAAAAAAAGGCAGGTGAGGTCTTTTTTCTGATAGCAGGTCTGAAACTAGAAAAGCTAGAACTTGGTTCTTTATTCCACTAAGTCATGGACCTGCCTCTAATATACGTCTGGGAAGCGTTCAGACTGCTGACCATTCTTACCTTTCAGGAGACCATTTCTACAAGAGGAACAAAAACTTGCCACCTGAGGAACAGATGATTTCTGCCCTTCCTGACATCAAGGTGCTGACTCTCACTGATGACCATGAGTTCATGGTCATTGCTTGCGATGGCATCTGGTGAGCACTGGTGAATACCCTTAAATGCGCTCTGCAACCTTACTTTAAGGCTTGGAGCTACAGAGGGGGCGGTAGCTTCAAGGTCAGCTTCTCAGTGAATTAAAGTCACTGAGCCTAAGGCAGAGCTGAGGAGCATTTCTTCACGTGTTGACATTGGCCTGCATCAGTACTGCTGCCTACGTGACTTTTTGCTCTGCCTTGGTGGGACTAAGGATTCTGTCTGTCATTTTTTGACCCCAGGAATGTGATGAGCAGCCAGGAGGTTGTAGACTTTATTCAATCAAAGATCAGCCAACGTGATGAAAATGGGGAACTTCGGTTATTGTCATCCATTGTGGAAGAGGTGAGTCTGAAGTTGGAGGAGGGTATGTAGTCTACACAGCCACAACGTTTTTTTTTTTAAGATTTTATTTATTATGTATACAGTATTCTGCCTACAGGCCAGAAGAGGGCACCAGATCTCATTACAGATGTTTGTGAACCACCATGTAGTTGCTGGGAATTGAACTCAGGACCTCTGGGAGAGCAGCCAGTGCTCTTAACCACTGAGCCACCTCTCCAGCCCCATAGCCACAACTTTTTTCTCTCTGCTTGAGCTGAGACTTAAGGCTGGGATTGGTATTAATCACTCACAAACACTAGAAGACCTTGATTAAAAAGTTGTATCTTTCGTGGTGTCCCTGATGTAGCCTTAGGGGGCAAAAGTTCACAGTGTCAGTTTCATAATACCTGCTGCCCATTCCTTCCCTCTGTAACCCTGTGTCAGCAAAGCCAGGCCTTCCCAGGAAAGGGTTCAAACCTTGTGCTAAACTGCCTCAACCTTTTTGTAGCTGCTGGATCAGTGCCTGGCGCCAGACACTTCTGGGGACGGTACAGGGTGTGACAATATGACATGCATCATCATTTGCTTCAAGCCCCGAAATACAGTAGAGCTCCAGCCAGAGAGTGGCAAGAGGAAACTCGGGGAGGCGCTCTCCGCGGAGGGGACTGAAGAGAATGGCAACAGTGACAAGAAGAAGGCCAAGCGGGACTAGCAGTTGTCCTGACCCTGCCCACCAGGACTGTTCTCTGAGCCCTTGGACCCAAGACTGAGTTTTGTCTTTTTCTTTTAGCCTTAGCAGTGGTTATGAGGTGTGCAGGGGGAGCTGGGTGGCTTTCCTCAGCCCATTCCAAAGAGGGCTCTCCCTCCACACGGCAGCCTGGGAGCCTCTGCTGTCCTCTCCAGCCTCATCTTTACTCGGGCTCATCGACGGTCGGTTCTGTGCCTGTGCTCTGTTGTGTTGGAGGGAAGGACGAGTAGTTCTGATTTTTACTCTGTGAACACTTTATTTAAGGACATTCTTTTTTATTGGCGGCTCTGTGACCCCTAGCCGCTTGCACCCGCTCTCTGTTGTACACTTTCGAGCAACACTTTTTCAGACTAAAGGCCAAACAAAACCTAATCGTGCCCATAGTGTCCTTTTTTACTCTCCCACCTTGGCCCCAAACTGGGTCACACGGGGGAGCACATCGGGAGCTCTCGGTGTGTGCCTGCGAGTCAATCCCGCGCGTTCAGCAGGGGGCGAGTGGGGAGCAGGAGCTAAGTCCGCCTGTTGGAGGCCACCCTGGCGCGCCTCGCTCTCAGGTGCGACTTCCTAGTTCGTACGCAGAGGGGGCAGGGCACTTTCTGCCTGGCTGGCTGGCCGGTTTACTCCTGCAGCCTCCAATTGGTCGGCTAGCAGAGCATCCCAATCACTTCCCGGTCACGCTGCGTCCGCGTTCCCGTTGTGCATCCCACGAACTACGCGTCCCGTGCGGCTGTGCGGCAGCGGAAGCGGAAGCGGGTACGGAGGTACCAGCTGGTCTCCGGAGGGGGATAGGGGGCTCCATGAATGGAAGCGGCGGCGGCGGCGGGAGCGACCTGAGCTTGGCTCCGGGTCCAGGGCCGGGGGCTGCCCAGGACCCGCACTGGTGTATGGGGGCGGCTCCTGGACCCTGAGAGCGAGGGCCGGCGACTGGGCCGAACTGGGAGGGGCGGGGCCGGGCGGCCTCGGGCCGGAGGCGCGTCGGGCTGGAGCCGGTCACGATGCCCCGGAGGAAGCAAAGCCACCCGCAGCCCGTGAAATGCGAGGGGGTCAAAGGTCAGGGGTCAGGGGCCTAGAGCGGGGAGGAACAGGGGTGGGGTCAGTATAGTGGGCTCAGGTCTGGGTGGAGGGGGACTCCTGAGGTTTTGGGGGCGGATGATCTGGGCTCATAGCTACCTACCAAAGTATTAAGGAACCTGAGAGGGTCAGCGAGTACGGGAAGTGCAGTTTACAATGGCTGGCTCCCTGGTTCGGATTATGGGCACCGCTTGGGAGGGAGATTCCACAAACACCCTACTCTCTTTAGTGGATACTGAAGATTCCTTCGACGAAGGACCTGGGACCCTGGTGTTGGAGAGTGATTTGCTGCTAGGCCAAGACCTGGAGTTTGAGGAGGAAGAGGAAGAGGAGGAGGGTGACGGCCACAACGACCAGCTCATGGGTTTTGAGAGAGACTCCGAAGGTGTGTTTAGGGATCGTGGTTAAGGAGTAGTGACTATTGGTGGTGACTCAAGCCTTTTAGAAGTGTCAGTGACCAAGACACCACTTCCTGCTACAGTGTAGGACTTGCTTGGCTTCCCACTTGATTACTTGGTTTGCTTAAGGGTCCCTCAGCAGCATCATTTTGCTGGGGTGAAGTTCTGGGTCCGGGCTGACAGTGTCATGAATACAAAGATGAGTGACTCACATGGCCAGAGTTGGTGCCCTTTTATAATAACCTTGCCCCTCGCCCCGTTCCTTGTCTGTGCTCTTCAGGAGGTGCATGGAAGGGGCTTCTGTAAATAAGCTAGTCTTTGACCTGTAGCGGCAGATACTTTGTACTGAGAGGTTTGTTTCCACTCTTTTAAGACTCTTTTTTCCCCAAATATTTTTAAATCGGGGTGTGAACGAACCCCCATATAAAAGAATCTGCTCGCTGGGCAGCGGTGGCGTTCGTCTTTAATCCCAGCACTCGGAAGGCAGAGGCAGTCGGATCTCTGTGAGTTCGAGGCCAGCCTAGTCTACAAGAGCTAGTTCTAGGACAGACTCCAAAGCTACAGAGAAACCCTGTCTCGAAAAACAATGTAATTTACATTACATTGTTTCCACTTGCTCCAAATTGTGGCTTCTTGAGATGTGCTTTATTTTATTGTCAGCCTTATACAAAAACCAGTGCTTACTAAAAGGGTCTCAGGGACTTTTGTATTTTTACTTTATCTCAAGAATTAATGCTGTTTTACATCAGCCTGTACCCCTTCTTCAAGCCCTTGATCTTTTCCATTTAGCAGAAATGGTGTGTGTGGGTCAACCTTATTGTCAGTAATTAGGCTCAGAGAGGTAGGCAGATTGAGTGTTCTGAGGTCACTATAGGGAAACAGATTCCTGGGAGAGATCTAAAAGGTTTTGTTTTTATCAAATGAAGGGTGGGGCAGCTAAGTGCGGCCATAAGGGAGAAATGACAATTTGGAACTTAGACTTCCGAACCATGTTGTTTTTTTCCCTCCCCCCCACCCCTTATTTCTGTCTCACCAGGAGACTCTCAGGGGGCCAGACCTGGACTTCCCTATGGGCTGAGTGACGACGAGTCTGGGGGCGGCCGGGCACTAAGTGCGGAGAGTGAAGTTGAGGAACCAGCAAGGGGTCCAGGGGAGGCCAGGGGTGAGAGGCCAGGCCCAGCCTGCCAGCTGTGTGGGGGGCCGACAGGTGAGGGGCCGTGTTGTGGGGCAGGAGGGCCGGGTGGGGGGCCCCCGCTGCCCCCACGGCTTCTGTACTCGTGCCGCCTCTGCGCCTTCGTGTCCCACTACTCAAGCCACCTGAAGCGGCACATGCAGACACACAGCGGGGAGAAGCCGTTCCGCTGTGGTCGCTGCCCCTACGCCTCAGCCCAGCTCGTCAACCTGACACGACATACCCGCACCCATACTGGCGAGAAGCCCTACCGCTGTCCCCACTGCCCCTTTGCCTGCAGCAGCCTGGGCAACCTGAGGCGGCATCAGCGCACCCATACAGGGCCTCCCACTCCTCCCTGCCCGACCTGTGGCTTCCGATGCTGTGCTCCACGACCAACCAGGCCTCCCAGCCCCACAGAGCAGGAGGGGACAATGCCCCGGCGATCGGAAGGTAAGCAGACCACCAGAGATCCTGGGGCATAGGACGTGGGTGGGTAGTTAAGAGCGATACTTGGATTAATGGCCCATGTCTCATTGTTCCCACAGATGCTCTGCTCCTTCCAGACTTGAACCTCCATGTGCCACCAGGTGGTACCAGCTACCTGCCAGACTGTGGGCAGCTACGGGGTGAAGGGGAGGGTTTGTGTGGAACTGGATCGGAACCATTGCCAGAGCTGCTGTTCCCTTGGACCTGCCGGGGTTGTGGACAAGAACTGGAGGAGGGTGAGGGCAGCCGGTTGGGAACTGCCATGTGTGGGCGCTGCATGCGAGGAGAAGCTGGAGGGGGTGCCAGTGGGGGACCTCAGGGCCCCAGTGACAAAGGCTTCGCCTGTAGTCTCTGCCCCTTCGCCACTCACTATCCCAACCACCTGGCTCGGCACATGAAGACTCACAGTGGTGAGAAACCCTTCCGCTGTGCCCGCTGTCCCTATGCCTCTGCTCATCTGGATAATCTGAAACGGCACCAGCGTGTCCACACAGGAGAGAAGCCCTACAAGTGCCCCCTCTGTCCGTACGCCTGTGGAAACCTGGCCAACCTCAAACGTCATGGTCGCATCCACTCTGGTGACAAACCTTTTCGGTGTAGCCTCTGCAACTACAGCTGCAACCAGAGTATGAACCTCAAACGTCATATGCTGCGCCATACGGGCGAGAAGCCCTTCCGCTGTGCCACCTGCGCCTACACCACAGGCCACTGGGACAACTACAAGCGCCATCAGAAAGTGCATGGCCATGGTGGGGCAGGAGGACCTGGTCTTTCTGCCCCCGAGGGCTGGGCCCCACCTCATAGCCCACCCTCTGTTATGAGCACTCGGGGGCCAGCAGCCCTGGGTGCTACTGGTAGCAGGGCTCTCCATACAGACTCACCTTGAACTAGGTTCTTTTACCTGTTTTACCTGGGGTCCTAGGAATTAGCCCTGCCTCTCCTGCATTTTATACAAATGGACTAGAAACCACCTTCCCCTTCCTCCCCCGCTGGCCAGGGGCTCCATACAGACTAACCTAGGCACTATATGGACCAGCCTCAATCAAATGGGCAGGGGGCCATATGGACCAGGGGGCCTGGTCTTGGCTCATGTACTTAATTTAATGAGCTCAGTGATTAGGACCTTGGATTCACCGTCACTGTTCCCAGGGGCCATGGATGAACTGGTTGGGGACTGCCCAGCCTCTCACCTGTTTTAACTTATTTCAGTGCTTTATAATAAAGGAAACACTAACAAAGCCATGTCTATGCTGAATTGGCAATAGCACACAGGCCTTACCCTTAGTGAGAGGGAACCAGAGGTAGGCAGCAGTCAGGCTGAGTTTAATGATGGGGAGTTGGTCAGACCATTCACAGACCTCTGCCCACCCCTTTGCCCATGGCCTGGCCCTAAAAAGCCAGAGACAGCCCATGGAGGAGCACTAGCTCCTCCCCAAGGCAAGCAGTCCTGGTCCCTTGGACTTTGTGCAAAATACTAAATGCTAATTTGGCATCAAGAGCCAGCTCTGAAAAAGAGTGATCTTTTGTGTAGCCAGCCCAGGAAAAGGAAGGTAGGTTAGGAGGCCCCTGGCCAAAAGGAAAAAAAAAGTAGGAAGGGAGTAGGAAAAGACTCCCTAACTTGGGAGCATAGGCACAGGGCAGGTTTGTGTAAATTTCCTCTGGGGTAGAGGGCAGACATCCAGGCAGCTGAGATTACAGATCCTCATCTCCAATGCCCTCGAAGGCGAAATTGCCATGGATGGCACTGGCACTGGCATCTGTGCTGGGACTGCCAATTCCCCGCAAGCTCACGGCACTCAGCTTACTCTGTAACAGAGGTGGGAGGAGGGTCAGAGGGCAGCAGCCTGTGAGCCCCTTGTAGTCAACCTCACCAACCCAGTAACTCACTGAGAGTTTGACCATGGATTCCCGGCTGGCATCTGGTGACTCCTGGGAAAAAGGAGGCAGATCAGTTAGATTTAGGAACAGGGATGGCAAGGCAGAGCTAGGAGCCAAAGCACTGATGGACATTAACTTACAAGCAATGGTGGAGACTTCACTGCTTGCTGGCTGTCTGAACGTTTCAGGGTACCCCCCACTCGCCGACGCAGCATCTAAGGACAGATCCAAAATGCTGCTAAAAGGCAGAAACCTCAGAGCCCAGTCTCTTCCCCTTCCTCCCAAGAGAAACCTTATTCCTAGAACACAACAGGAGAGCACGGCCACACAGCTGCTTGGTCTCTGGTGCCATTTACCTTCCTGATACTGCCCCCGGACTTCTTCACCATCAGCTCGTCCACCATAGACTGCAAGCAGATGCTCATCATAATAGCCTGAGGGGAAGAAACTCAGTCTGATTAAAGACACTATCCCTAGCCAGATCTCCTAACAAGGACTCCCACTCACATGGAATCCTGGAAGCCTAGACTTGGGGACCTATGGGCTCACACCTGTGGGCTGGTGATGGTGACCCACTGTAGCCGGTCCTTGCTCATGAGGTATTCGAAAGCCAGTTCCAGGCGCACCTCACCCCGACCCCGGCTTGGACTGCTCGTGCTTCCACTGGGGAGTGGCACCTAAAAGAGGAACAGGACTTGGGCTGATTTCATTGTGGCCAAGTTGTGGACCTCTGCAGCCTGGGATCGCAAGGCTTGCCATGTCCCATCTCAGAAGGCCATCCCTCTCATCCCAAGTCACAGAAGAAAGTCAGGTGTGCTAATCCTAAGCCTTGGAAAGCTGAGGCAGGAGGATCATGAGTTCAAGAATAACTGGGCTACATAGTTCCAGGTCAGTAATAGGGACATAACTAGAAGTTGTCTCAAAAACAGAAACAAAACTCAACTCACAGAGGAGGTGACCCGCCAGCATCGCATGCGGGTAACCCGGAAAGAGCCTTCACGGAGTTGCGGGCCAGGCAGTCGCAGTTGGAGACTGAGCTCACTGTTGCCTGCGCTGACCACCACAGGGCAGTCCTTCTCTGGAAAGTCAGCCACACAGGCATCAAAGCGCAGGTAGCCATAGTGCCGCAGGGTTTGGGCCAGTCGTAAGAACTGAAAGATGGTCACCGAGTATGCTTAGTCACGATGGGGTAGCGCAGACTTGGCTATGCAAGGAGACAGGGCAAAAAACTCACCTCCTTCTTGGAGACTTTGTCTTGCAGAGATTTGAGCTGCCGGTGCTGCTCTTTGGTGACCAGGATCCACCCATGCTCAATATCGGACACCGTCTACATACAGCGGAGACAATGAGCGAGGCTGGGGCTTCAATACAGTGATCAAAATGAGCTGAGAAGCACCTGTGTGAGACCCTGATTTTATTAGTTCAGAGAGGCAGAGTGTGCTAGGAGCTCTGATTGTGTTCTACGAACTTCCCTGTGAACGGGGGCCAGAGACATGCGTTTTCTTGGGAAAATGGAGTACCATAGTCATTTCGGGGCAAGGGTTCTGACGCAGCTCTAAGCTCACCTGAGCATAAAGCAGGTTCAGGCCAACCCGGTTCTCCATGACATCATCGTCATAGGCAGAGTCCCAGTAACTGTGAGGCCAAGGGGTGGAAATGAGTAAGGGGGTAAAGGCAAAGGTAGGATGGAAATGGGCAAACAGAAGTAATTGCAACTATGGGCTAATTAATTGTGGTACACTGGAAGGAGGGTGGGAGGTGTGGGTAAAACATCCAGCATTGCTCCCTCGGCCAGATGAAGCCCCCTCAGCATGTGGCCAGGCCCTGACCTCTTTCTGAGCACAATCTTGTACTCGTGACTCCGAAGACTGGTGACAGATACATAAGGCAGCTCAAACTCCTGCAGCTTCCGTACAACTATGGATTAAAAAAGAAAAGTGTGGTCAGACTAAAGAGGAAGGGAAACCAATGGAAGTGCTTGGAGGAAATGTTCCCTTCAGACAAGAGGCAGACGGAACTCACTGCCAGAAGCAGTGCTCAAGCAGTAAGGGCCAGAGACACTCACAAGAAAAGGCTCCATCCTCTTTTTCTCGCACAAGGAAGAGACTAAAATATCCGATCAAGTCATCCGGAAGATCCAGCTTTGCAGCCACAGCCTGGGTACAGGAAGCACAGTTTATCCAACCGGCTAGTTCTAGTGCAGGACTTGGTGTTCAGTGGGCAGAGGGGCTGCACTAAGCGCATCTCACCTCCAGGACATCTTCAGTCTGGTCAGACGTTAACACATTGACCAGAACTTTCTGTCCATTGCTGAGCAGCACTTCCAAGGAAACCTCCTCTGTGGGGACTTGCTGCGTCTCCTGTATGGACAGACAAGGACGGGAGGCACTACCTTATTAATATAGGCCTAGGGTCTTGCTTAGATGCACCCTAACTTCCTAACCCGGCAGGTATCATTCTTAAACTCAGGCTGGACTTCTCTGAATTTCAGTGGTGCAATAGGAGCTTTGTTCCATTAAAAAAAAAAAAAAAAAAAAAAACAAAAAACTTTTTTTTTAAATGCCAGATGATAACCGTGCAATTAAAATGACATGGTCCCCTATCAGGTCTTTCTCTTAAATAGGGTTACCTGTTGGGCCCGACGTAGAAAACTATTAAAGGTCTCACTGCTCCCAAGCAATGGGTCTTGCCGAACTGTGGGGTCAAGAGAATGGTATTATAGTAACTTAGGACTCACTCTTGGCTTCCCCAAGTCCTCTTCTTCTTAAGTCCCCCAACCTCATTTCCTGGGCTGATGGTGGCCTGCCACATCCCCCAGCTGGCCTCACCTCACACACAGTTTGTATAAATTCTTCACCTGCCCCACCCTTGGCTGCCATCTAGTTGAGTCCAGTTTACAGAACTAGGGAAATAACAATGACGTTAACCTAAAGCATATCTGATACAAAGTTCTCCCCACCCATCTGCCCATCTAAATTACTCTTAAAACTAATGTTACAGCCAGGCAGTGGTGGCACACGCCTTTAATTCCAGCACCTGGGAGACAGAGGCAGGTGGACAGAGGCTGTCAAGGATAGTCAAAGCTACGTGGAGAAACCCTGTCTTAAAAAAACAGCTAGTGTTATACTAGAAATTCCAGGTTGCTTTACTAGTATGGAGTTTCAAATCCATGATGGCACTTTACTAATTAGGGAATATCAGACGGAAGGCTTTCTAACTCTGTTATTACAGGGCCCAAGACAGAGCCCCTGACTTACTCTCTTCCCAGGGTCCTAGAGCTCATCCATCCACTCACCAGCTTGCATGTATTTCTCTAACTGCTCTCGCCTCTGTTCTACCTCTGCAGGCGTCAGAGAGAAAAGCTTCTTTGGAGGGAACGCAGGAAGCACATTGGCCCCATACTCCTTCCGAAGCTATGTGGAGAGAGAAAGAAAAAATTAATGTAAACGGAGAAGTGGCAATTGAGACTTGCCAAGTCCTGAGTTCCCCTCTCCAAGTGGTCATCTGAGGAAAGATGACTTTGGAAGAGTCAGGATCTCAAGGATCCTGGGTATAAATTCTTAGGTAAATTAATATGCATAAGCACTTCCACATTGTAGGGTGGGTTTTCATGGGGTCCAGGACTCCCTTTGATGTCACAGGAAGTAGACATTTACAGGAACATCCACATGCACAAATAAAGTCACAGTATACTCATACAGTGTATGCAAGGGACTTTGCTAACTATCTAGTTTTCATTTGGAGAAATTAGGTAACTCGCTCAGGACTGACAACTAGCTGTCAGTAGAACGAGGGCTGTCTATGGAGTAAAACAGAGCTCACTATCTGGTGAGGAAAGGAAACATTGTATCAGAGATACAAGACTATCCGAACAGTTACACATGAAAGAAGCCAAGAACAAGCAAAGGAATCAGTGAATGGTTTGCAGTAAGGAGGGAAAGGAATTTCAAAGTTCTAGGTTGGAGTGACAGAAGGAACGTGCTTGGGCTAATCTGCTTCGTTTTTGTTTTGTTTTGTTTTTTCCATGCAGGGGCAAAGGATGAAAAAGCAGTTCAGAAAAGAAGGAAGATGGGCGTGATTATAGGGAGGAGCAGTTATTGTGAGGCAAGTTGCTTAGGGAGGTCCCCGAAATGTCATGCTAACAAGACACACCTTCCACTGTGGCAGTGGTTAAAGGTGAATGCAGTGAAAGGGGATTAATATCCATGAGTAGTATGGAAGAGCTTGAAACTGCATCTAGATAGGGGATCTCCTCCCACCTGCTCGTGCAGCCCCAGGAGCTGGCTGTAGCGCACCCGACAGTGCAGGACTCCATTCACGTGAATATTATAAGCCTGAGGACACAAAAGCAGGCAAACAGCTCAGGGTCGAAGTCCGAACCCTCTCTTGCCCCCAGAAGCCTGGCTGTCTGTGCAACGTGCCGAAACTTCTCAGGACGTGGCCTGTTTTCTCTTTCCCCCCGGGGCCAGGTTCCAAGCAGAAGGCCCAGTTGAGGGGAAATTCGGGCGCTTGTGCGGCAGTCTCCCTCCCGGAGATGACAGTAATGCCCACCACCAGTCGCGGCCTGACCGGGGGAAGGAATCGCCCAAAGAACCTATTGGAGCCTGGGATGACTTCTGTACGAAGCTGAGACGTGAGATGGCTTCCAGGGAGGTTCCAAGGCTGGAGGCCGCTCCAAGGGCTCCGGCCCGTTATCCCCGCCCCGGCCCAGCTCTATCAGCTCCTCACCACGTAGGCGGAGCCGCCGCTGTCCCCGCTGCGGGACTCGGTTTCAGGAATGGAAAAGTGCATGTTCCCTAAGGCAGAGCTCCGGACTACCAGGGCCGTAGCGGCTCTGTTCGCTCGCCTCTGCCACTCAGCGCGTCTCCGCAGCCCAGCTCGCCATTTTGGGGGGCCTGAACTCCGAGGTGGGAAGGCTGTAGGACGTAGGCTCTGCGAGCAGCAACCTCGGCATGCTGGGAGCTGTAGTCGAGGGTCAAAGACTATCCTAATTGGCAGCCCAACGTCCCATGGTCCTCACCACGACCCGTAGTCCGGGGCGGGACCCAGTGCACGCCGGAAGTTGTAGTCCGCTTGGGATTAACTCCGCCGGAGGCGGCAGAAGAGCCTGTAGCCCAAGTGGCGCTGTAGTCTGAGTGGCCTCGGCGGGAGGAGCCTAGGACCGACAGTCATGGCTGCGGTGGCGGTGGCCGTTCGCGAAGGTAAGTGGAAGGCTGGATGCACCAACTGGTACAGGGGCAGATGAGCGTCGGGTCGCTGGTGCGGAGCCCCGAACGCCTTTGGGCCTTGCCTCCCGGTTTCTGAGCATCCCGGGACTGGTTTACATGATCTAGGGCGCAGCTCGGTGCTGCTTGCCGGCTGTTCCCAGAAGGGTGACTGACCCTTTTCCTCCCCCGCCCGTCCTTTGATCCTGCCGCGCAGTGCGTCCCCACGCGGAACCCGGAACGCCTCGCGCCGGGCACCCGAGCTGTGGTCATGCCAACCCAGCAGCCTACTGCGCCGACAAGTCTCCCCAAGCCCTCCCGGAGCCTCTCTGGCTCACTCTGTGCCCTGTTTTCTGATGCAGAGTCCAGATCCGAGATGAAAACCGAACTTTCTCCTCGGCCAGGGGTAAGTGAGGGAGACCTCCCAAGTCGCCTGTCAAGCGCTGCATAGAAAGCTGTGTCACCTTTCAGCCCCATCTCCCGTCCCTTTTCAGTTCGTTTCTCAGTAGAACCAGATTTTTACAGAGTTTAACAGTATGTAACTATGGTTTTGAAGAAGTTTCTCTCCGTGTGAGATGTAGACTTGTAACAGAAGTCAGAGAAGATTAGGGACTTAACCTTGTGGGAATCTAGTACGCATCCAGTAGTGTTGATACACCTTTGGCATTGCCTGGGGAAGAGCAGTTACTGTGTCTGTGTCTCAGGCAGCGGGGCGAGAGATGACCCAAGAAGAGAAGCTTCAGCTTCGGAAAGAAAAGAAACAGCAGAAGAAGAAGCGGAAGGAGGAAAAGGGGGCAGACCAAGACGCTGGCTCTACCGTATCTGCAGCTCAGCAGCCAGGTGCGGTGACTCTTTAAAGAGCTGGGGTAGGCCGCTGGTTGAGGGATTTGGTGGGGAAGACAGAACAAAGTTTATTTGAGCAAGTACAAAAGAGATTACGTGGGAGGTAGAGGCAAATGGGGCCAGCCTAGTCTACACAGTGAATTCCAGGCCAACCAGTGATATATAAAGTGACAAAAAAAAAAGGGGGGGTGGGGTGGAAGAAACATTGGTTGGGGCAGAGACCATCCTTAGGCTTGGGCCCTTCTTCCTCTGTCTTTAGTAGACCCAACCAGAGAACTCCCAGGACCCGGTAGTCAGTCGGGAGGCACTGCTGGAGAGAAAGTTCCAGCTGGCCGGAGTAAGGCCGAACTTCGTGCTGAAAGGAGAGCCAAGCAGGAGGCAGAGCGGGCCCTGAAACAGGCAAGGAAAGGGGAACAAGAAGGGCCCCCTCCTCAGGCCTGCCCCAGTACAGCTGGAGAAGCCTCCTCAGGTATCTTCTTTTCTTGTTAAAACTCCAATTTCTCCAAATTCTTGTGCCAGCATGGGCTCCCATTCTTACCTTAGGAGACAGAGTTTGAACTTTTTCTGTTGACTCTCCCTGCTCCATCTTCGCAACTTATTAATTTCCTGCTGTCCGATATGCACTAAAAACACATGTCAAGGCCAGGCAGTGGTGGCTCACACCTTTAACTCCAGCACTTGGGAGACTGGGGCAAGCGGATCTCAGTTCAAGCCCAGCCTGGTCTACAAAGTGAGTTCCAGGACAGTCAGGACTGTTACACAGAGAAACCCCGTCTCAAAAAACCAAAAATAAAACAAAAACAAAAACAAAAAACCATACCATTAACTTCCAGGTGTGAAGCGCCTCCCTGAGTCCACCCAGGTCCACGA